TTCCTAAATGTAGCTTCTTGCTGGAGAGAGCAGCCTCCAGGACCCCAACTAGATTGTCAGATGGTGAGAAATGCTGCAAATCACAGGGCAGGGTGAAAGGCCCGAGTGCAGCCTGTTGCCTGTTTCCCCTTAGAGGGCCACGAGGAAGAGGTGTCTGATGGAGTGATGTTTGCGCAGGAATGAGGCAGAAATGTGAGTCCTGGGGGTACGTGAGGAAAGAGGTGGATGTAGAGATGGAATGGAAGGTGCAGAAGCTTAGGCGGCGATGGCTAAAGTGAACTCCAGGGATTATAGGTGCTTTTCAATCATTCCTGCTGTCCTTCTTGGCCATGAACATGACTGACTGAACCCAGTGAGCAGACCTGAGACTCCGCAGGCATTCCTGAGTCAGCAACTACGCTGAGCTTCCCCTCCCACCAAGATGAGGTTACCAGCTGGGAGAGGGTGGTTCTGCGTTCCTGGACCACAGCAAGAGAAAATACCGACAGCAGCCGTCACCCTTCTCTTGCACCCGTGTCCTTCAGGAAGAGGGGCAGGTCACTGAAAAGCCAGGCAGTGACTTGTCTCTGAAGACGTAGCTGGAAATAAAGGCCCCTTGAGTGGTTTTCTGATGACTTCATTTCCATAATTGTTTCCACATTCCAAGTCGCCTGATTATCTTTTTTCCTTCAGAGAAACAAGTTGGGGAGGATGTAAATGAACGCTTTGCTCGTCAGGTTTTCATTTGGGTTCTGCATATAGACTTCCCAAACCGCTGTTTTATGAAGTCTTACATTACTGGCGTTCGAAGTTGTGGTCATCACTCCAAGGTTTAGTTAGCATCTCCTGTGTCTGGGTCAGAACTACTAAACCTTCTAAAACCTTCCGTATAAACACAAACATCAGCCCAGATGTGGGAGAAGTTAAGAGTCAGCACGTCAGTGTGACTGTACTGCTTCACATGTACTGTAAAAACTGAACATTTTCAGGGGGAAAGGAAGATCTCCCCCACCCCACCTCAGGCTATTTTAAAAGAGGAATGAGGGGACCAAAGGCTGTTCAGAGTGTCCATCTGTGTTTTATACTGCGGGGCAGTCTTTGAACGTGATTTGATCAAATCATCTGTTTTTCAGGAATGTGGCCATTACCAAACATCTCACTAGAGTTCACAGTTCTGCCTGGTGTTGGCTTTGCCTAAGGAGGGGAAGCACAGCGCAGTGTGGGTTTATGGGATAGCTACCCGAATAGAGTCAACTCCCTCTCCGCCTTGTGGCCTTTACAGCGCTGTGTTCCCTCTTCTGCAAAATGGCAGCACATCATTGTTGGGAAGATGAAATCAAGTGATCCATGTAAAATGCTTAGTCTAGCACTTGGCCCCGGGGTGCACACTTAATATTAGTAATTAAATTAGACTAGAGCAGAGAGATTAACTCACTGGGAACACGGAGTTAATAAGTGATGAAACTCCCCGGTTTTGCTTAGTGGCTGTTGTGTAAGTCAGCAAAGCTGCTTAACTCCGGACTTTTCATTTTAGGGGAGTGGGACATAGCAGAGGGCAAAGGTCACTCGTTCGATTATCAGATCCACCACTGTCAGGGTCCCTGCTCTGTTGGAGCAGGATGGTCTGGGATGGGAGTTGGACACCAGTGTTTCTATATCAACATGGAAGAAAAGCCTAGACGTTGAGTGGTCTACAAGGTATCTGCACAAGTGCTGAAACGTGACCCTCACACGTCCAAAGTGATGGCAAGTTGAATTGCTCACCAGTGTCTTGCAGAGCACACTGGAGGCTAAGAGTGAAATGGCACATTAATTTTTCTTTGAAATCACAGAATCATGTTGTAAGGGCTGAGAGAGGTCAAGAAATGCTAAGTTGGCCATTAGTTATAAACTGGCTAGGATTTTTGGTGATTTCCAGCTTAGAAATTACAGTAACATATCTGCCCTGGGAACCATCAGTATGCCTGGTAGCAAATGTAGAAGACAGGGTGAGGTGGCAGGAAGTCTCATGGGCGAGTTGGTGAGGGCTGGATCCAGCTGCATCAGCTGTCAGTGTGGAAAGTCTTAGGGGGGTGTGAAGTTTTTATACAAAAATCACCGAAAGTTTGTTCTCTGGGAAACCCTCAAGTGAGCTGAGCTGGTGTGGGTCAGCTGAGTACACGCAGGTCTCCCAGGCTTTGCCTTTGAACCGTAAGCTGATTTTTCGATTGATGTACAATTGAAAACAGAATGGACACAGAATCCATGAACTCTTGTTTAAAAGTCTTTCAACACCGGTGGTGGTGGCGGCAGCGGCGGCACACTACTTTAATCCCAGCACTTGGGAGGCAGAGGCAGGCGGATCTTTGAGTTTGAAGTCAGCCTGCTCTACAGCATGAGTTCCAGCACAGCCAGGGCTACACAACTTCATGGCATGATTTGCACTTACTGCTTGATCGTCCATATTGGTTTGTTTGTTTGTTTGGTTTTTGGTTTTTTGCTTTAAACTAATTCATGGTATGAACTGTGTTATTCCCATTCTGTTTCTCCCAGATGTAGAATCTTGTGCAGGGGAAGAGAGCTGCTTAGTGAAAATTTTGCTAATCATAGTTTCCCTGTGACAGCTCAACATTTTTAAGACAAAAATGACTCCTTGAAAAATAACAATTTTTCAAAAAAAAAATTCAGGAATATACAGCTTAATTCTTATGGAAGAAAAGTAGAATTTGAAGATTTTTGAAGGATCAGTCATCAAGGCCTTAGTGCCTCACACAATCACGGACTTGACCAAAGGAAACAACCCAAACTAAAAATCTAACATCTCTTTAACAAAATAAGAACAACATCTGAATTCTAACATTCTACATAATATTTCTAATAAATCACTCAGGAGTAATATTACATTTAAATTAGAAAAATGTTTTTCTTAACTATCAAGAGTCTATAACAAAACAAAATCTGTAAATCATTTTTAATTAGCAAAAGAAAACAGTGTAATTATATCATTAAAAGTTCTCATGTGGCATTTGGGTCAATTCCTGTGGCTAGAACCAAAGTAGCTTGAACTAGGTCTGTACACAGTTGATTTCTTACAATTCTGGAGTTGGGAAGTCCAAGATCTACAATCGAGGCACCATCATTGGTGTCTGGGGAAGGCTGAGTCTGATCTACAAATGGAGCTTTGCTGTATGTAGCTCCTCAAACGGTGGAATGACGGAAGCGAATCCCAAACGGTCTTTCATGGGGCGGAGTCCACTGATGAGGCAGAGTGATTCTGCCTCCACAGTGAGGTCCAGACTGATCTGGGATGACACAGCAGACCATTCACAGAATGAGCTCCTCAGGTTGTCCTGAATCTGTATATAATTTTAGCATCGTTGAACACTTAATTTTCTCCTTGAGTAATTAATTGAATTCCACTAATTAATATTTTCTTTACACCTTCCTATGGTGCTAGTAGACTTAGAAATACAATCACTTTCAAGCATTTTGACATGATCTGTAGAAACCGTCAGACAGTGATATCCTCTACCTCATTCTGAAAACCATAAATTACTCCTATAGTTGGCCATGTATATAAAGATTAATTGCTTATAAAGGTCAAACACTGGGAAAAACCTCACTGTCCAAATCTAGGCGTTAGTTAAGTAAGACATGTAACAGGATGTAAAAAAGCTGTTAAAATTACGAAATTTGTTTAAGTATATCAAGTGAGCATTTTATCTCACAATGACAAAGCAAATATTTAATTTACTTTAAGATATCATTATACAATTAAAATATAAATTGAGAAGCAGACTAAGATAGAGCTGTGCTTTATACTACTTAAAATCATTGTCTAGGCTGATAATCTCTACTCTGGTGTGGTATCAGATTCCAGAATCTACAGGAAGTTTCAAAATTTGGGATTTCTTCTATATTTTCCCTGTTACACAGACTTCATTCCAAAAGATAGACAGCTCAACTCTCAGGTCTGCTGAGCCTGTGGTTCAGTAAATAAACCCCAGCCTCGTTTTTTGTGGGGGATTTGATAGCCTTTCCAACCGGAAGTTAGAATCTTGGCTTCAACTCCATTGGTTTTTGAAATGTCATACTCAGTCTTCTATTGAGAGGGACCAGTGTCATCCCTGCAAGCCTGATACCACAGTTCGGTGTCCCCTTCCACACACGTCTTGAGGACTTGCTAAATGAGTCTAGTTTTTGCATTGGGTTGGATATCTGCACAAACCCTACATGTCAATGGCACCTGTAAAGACCTTGTCCTCAATCACCCGTGGGTTGGAGAGTCTCCTGGGAAGTGACCGACTTGAAGTGATTGGAATGGAAAACCGAGCGTACATATTTACATTGGTACCATTAGAATGGGTGACTATGAGGAAGAAGCGAACAAGAAGGTTAGGGAGCGGTGTGAGACCAAAGTCTCCCTCCCTACACCATATGCTTAATAAGTGATTGTAACTGCAGCCTGAAACTAAATGATGCTGATAGAATGATCGAGATTGGAGTTGGAGGTGTGGAAAGTGATCTCTTGGAGGAGGCATTTGGCCCTGGAAGAGTAATTCAGTAGCATTATCTTGGCGAGAATATGCCTGGCATTACAAGCCTGCTTTTGATTACTGAGCAGAACTCATGAATAAGAAATGGCCTGGATGCTACCAGCAGAAAACACCCATTAATGATTTGTGCTATGTTGTTGCTGTCGCTGGTGCAGAGTGGAAGTTGTAGGACAGCACATTTGACATATTGATGCCTCCTTGATCGTCCATTCATTTACTAGCCAGCTGTTCGATTACCCATCGTGAGCAGGCGGAGCCTCTGGATCCCGGTATGAATAAAGGAAACACGGGCGCTCCCTTCCTCAACGTCCAGCTCACCCTGGGAGACCGCTTGCATGCAGGCGATGCACTGTGGTAGGAGTCAGGAGGGAATGTACAGGCACAGGGGCGTTTACAGTGAGACCCGGGAGACTGAAAGGCGTCTCCTGGAGGAGGGGTGTCCTGGTGTCACTGAGTGACGCGTGTCTTCTTCTCCTTCCTTCCCAGGATGTGCAGCTCTTCTCCACGATGAATGAGTGTCACTACGACAAGCGGATGGACTTCTTTTACAACAAGAGTAACGCGGACACGGCCGACGAGTGGACGGGGACAAAGCTTGTCATCGTCCTGTGCGTCGGGACATTTTTCTGCCTCTTTATCTTCTTTTCTAACTCCCTGGTCATCGCAGCAGTGATCACAAACAGGAAGTTCCACTTTCCCTTCTACTACCTGCTGGCGAACTTAGCTGCCGCAGACTTCTTTGCTGGAATCGCCTACGTATTTCTGATGTTTAACACCGGCCCCGTGTCCAAAACTTTGACTGTCAACCGCTGGTTTCTCCGACAGGGCCTCCTGGACGCAAGCCTGACTGCCTCTCTGGCCAACTTGCTGGTTATTGCGGTGGAAAGGCACATGTCAATCATGAGGATGCGGGTCCACAGCAATTTGACCAAAAAGAGGGTGACGCTGCTCATTCTGTTGGTGTGGGCCATTGCCATCTTCATGGGGGCGGTCCCCACACTGGGCTGGAATTGCATCTGCAACATCTCTGCCTGCTCTTCCCTGGCCCCCATCTACAGCAGGAGTTACCTCATTTTCTGGACCGTGTCAAACCTCTTGGCCTTCTTCATCATGGTGGTGGTGTATGTGCGCATCTACATGTACGTCAAGAGGAAAACCAACGTGTTGTCTCCACACACGAGCGGCTCCATCAGCCGCCGGAGGGCTCCCATGAAGCTAATGAAGACGGTGATGACTGTCTTAGGTAAGAGGAGCCAAATAGCCAGTATTCCCATCCAAGCTGCCATTCGCTACGGGATGCCCACTGTGTGCAAGGCCCTCACTGTGCGATCAGGAGGCGGCAGTGAAGGGATAAGACAAATTCCCACTCACAGGGCTTAAATTCTCATAGCAGTGAGAAAATAAGTCTTCTGACAGGGCAAACAACACCAGCAGGACCTAGAAGATCAGTCTTGTACTAAAAAAATGTAGCAAGGAAGCAAACTAGATGCCGCGCAGGTGTAGCCTGTGATTTTCAAAGGCGTGTGAGGGACCACATGCTTTGGAGCAGAGCTGCAAAGTAAGGAAGGGACAGCCTGATAGCTGAGACATGTCACCAGACGGAAGATGAAGAGTGTGTGTGTGGGGGGGGGAGGGGGGGGTAGAAGGACGTGAGGTCAGATAGCTGTCGGACAGGATGGCCCACTCAGGTTAGGTAGGACCATGTATTTGTAAGGACTTTGGTGTTTCTGAGTGAGGTGAGGAGTGACTGGAAGGGTTTGGACCAAATATTGACACGTCTGTCTTTTAGGCTCTCTCTCTCCTGCGGCTGTAGGAGGGCGCTGAGTGAGATAAGTGCAGAAGCAGAAACATAAGGGGCATTCTGGGACTTGGGAGTGTTCACAGGAGCCAGAGCATCATCGGAGGTGATGACCAGATTGTCAATGTTGAAGGGACTTTCCAGGCTCAGGACTATAAACCTAGTAGTTGGGTGGCTGAGGCAGGAGGACAGCATAGAGGTCAATCCCAGCTGAGCAGAGAGTGATGCCCTCCCTCAGAAAGGAGGTGTGTGTGGAGCAATGATAGAATGTGTGTTGATGGTGAGAGGAGCAGGGGAAGGGGGGGCATATTATTAACGAGATCAGAAAGCCTAAAGGGGAGGAGCTACGGGGAGGGTCAGGAGCTTGGATTCAGACACGTTCAGTTTAAGATCCTTTCAGACATCCATGCAGAGTGTAGGTCTTGCGCTCACAGGACGAGGCCTGAATCAGGGATTCGGGCTTTTGTTCCAGGCTGATAGACATTTGAGAGACTCTGCAGGAGGAAATGGTCTAAAGCCGCCTGCCCACTTCACCGTGAAAGTGGATGTGAGTGTGGTGAAGAAGAGAATCGAGGGAAGCCCCTCCATGGAAGGGATGGCCAGCAGAGGGGCCCAGAAAGTGCCTGGGAAATTAAGGCAGCCTGGAGGCAAGAAAGGGCAACCCAGGGCAGCGAGTCTAGATGGAGGTTTCTCATCCAAAACACTCAGGAACAGAGGAGTTCTAACTGTGTGACTGCGGTTCACACTGAACAGAAAAGTTTTACAGATTTTGGAATATTTTGGCCATGTTGGGAAACACGGAGTGTATGTGGTGTGGATGGAAACCATCACAATGTCTCTAGGACTCGGGGGTCAGCAGACACCGAGCAACATGGTTCAAAGCCAAGGCCTGTTTATACACATCTGTACAGTGCACCGAGTGCTGCCCTGCGGTGGTGGTGGTGGTTCTAATGAGTGTTGACGTAGTCAATCCTCTCGGCGGCAGCTCTGTGAGACTGCTGCTTCAGTTATCCTGCCATGACCGGGTAAAGAAGCCACGTGTAGGGTCTAAGCAATGTGCCCTAAATCATTTCCCTGTTGGTCGTGGAGCTAAGGCCTCGAGAATGTACATATGTGCTGTCATAGTCTGTACTGAGAGAGAGAGAGAGAGAGAATGTGTGTCTGTGTCCTGTGTGTGTCTTTCTGTGTGTCTGTGTCTATGTATTTGTGTTTATCTGTGTGTCTCTCTGTCTGTCTGTCTGTCTCTCTCTCTCTGTATGTGTGTCTGTGTCTCTCTGTGTATTTCTCTGTCTATATATCTGTATGTCTGTGTGTGTGTGTCTGTGTGTGTCTGTATGTGTGTGTGTCTGTCTCTCTCTGTCTCTCTCTCTCTTTGTGTGTGTGTGTGTCTGTCTCTGTGTGTATTTCTCTGTGTGTATCTGTGTGTCTCTGTCTATATATCTGTATGTCTGTGTGTGTGTCTGTCTTTCTGTCTCTCTCTCTCTCTTTGTGTGTGTGTGTGTGTGTGCGCGTCTGCCTCTGTTTCTGTCTCTGTCTCTCTGTCTCTCTCTCGTGTGTGTGTGTGTGTGTGTGTGTGTGTGTGTGTGTGTGTGTGTGCAGTCAGAAGTCAACCTCAGATGACATTCCTCAGGTGCTCTCTGCTTTGTTTTGTGTGACAGTCTCTCACTGGCCTGGTGCTCACCGAGTCGGCTAAGTGGCTGACCAGCAGGCCTTAGGAATCCACCTATTTCTCATGAGCACTAGGGTTACAAGTGTGTGACACCACGCTCTGCCTTTTAACATGGAGTGTGTGCCTCAAACTCGGGTCCTCCAGTGTGCAAGGCATGCACCTTACCAACAAAGCTAACTGCCGAGCCTGTGTGTGTTGTGTTGGTTCGCTGGTGTGTTTCCGTCCAGCCTTCTCCTTTGGCCCCTTAGCAGGTTGGAAGGACAGGCCTGCATTTATGGTTATTTCCCCCTGGAGCACAGCTCTTGATTCTTCAGTCAAGACTGAAGTCAATGAGCTGGGATACATCTCCTGCTCAGCTTGTAGGGATAATTATTGCTTGGCCATATGTCTTGAGAAATTACTTATCTACAAGACACACTACCTTCTCTCTCAGCACTTTTGTCTATAGCAAACAGAAGAGGCAGAAGGGGCTTCTGTTCGTCCCTCCCCACCCACGTGGAAAAAACGCAGGTCTTTGCAGTAGCGACCATCATGGGCTTAACTGTCCTATGTGAGCTTTCTGACTGTAATGGAGGAGTTTAAAGGAAAGGACTTGTGTGGTTTCCACAGGTGTGGTGTTGGCTAAGAGGAAAACCAGAATAAACAGTGAAATCACCAAGAAAGATGAGAAGTCGTGGGATTCAGACGCAGCGGCGCTGGGGAATTGGTTAGTGACAAGGAGACGCTTTGGTGCTGAGGATCTGGGGAAGTTCTCTGGTGGCGAGACAGAGGGATTTGGTGGAAGATGGAAGTCTGGGAAAGGGAACTGAAACTGAAGAGTTGGTGGTGATGTCTGAAGTGTCTAGCTTCCAAGTTCTTTAATGACAGGGATTTGGGGCTTGACCCCAAATGTTTTGAAAGTTTTCTATAGAGTGATCTGAAGCACATTATTTCATCTTTTTGGTAAATTAAATTACTGAATAGATTGTCTTTAAGTTCTTTCCAAGGTGTAAGTAACCAAAGAAAAGGAAAGGAAGAGGTGTGTGTGTGTGTGTGTGTGTGTGTGTGTGTGTGTGTGTGTGTGTGTGTTACAGAGAGAAATGCAGGAACAATGAATGAACCAGACTCCTGCAGGGCAGTAGCCAACACAGAGTTTGTGGATTAACTGTGTTAAAACACAGAGACATTTTCATAAGAGCATCTCCCAGCGTCCCAGAGGGGAAGCTTCCAGGTGCCCTACTCATGTGAGAATTCAGTTGTCTAAAACAAATGTCTCCCAAATGACGGACTGTTAGAAAAACCAGCAGTTCTGGGGTCTACCATCATTATAGTCGATAGTTCTCAGAATGTGAGATAAGTAGCTTAAAAGTGTTATCTTTAATAATTATGTGATTTAGGTATTGCAATGAAAAATGCTAAACCTTCTTATTTAATGAGGGAACACTCATTAAATGGGATTAAGTCCCAAAATTTCTTAGAAGTGTTTTTGAAATATTAGAAAGTCAGTTCATAAATATTCATAAACAGTTTCTAGGAAGCAGGTGGTTGCATGAATTCAGTGAGCTTTGCAGGGAGGAAAGCATGCAGGAAGGGGACTTAGAAAGTCTGGAATATAGTCTGCAAGGAAAGGAAGACTTCATGGGGGTGGGAGAAGACATCCTAAGTATGAGGAACAGCGTGATCAAAAGTGATGGTCAAGGGTGCCAAAGAGCTGGCTGAGTGGTTAAGAGCACTTGTTCTTCCAGAGGATGAAAGTTTGATTGCCATTACCCTCATAGTGGCTCACAACCACCCATAACTCCAGTTCCAGGGCATCGGATGCCCTCTTCTGAACTCTGAAGTCACCAGGAACAAGCATGGTATACATAATTGCAAGCAGGCAAAACATTCAATGCACATAAAAGTAAGTAAATAAATCTAAAAAAAAATAATTAAAAAAAAAAGTGGTTAGAAACACCCAGAGCCTCTGCAGCACCCAAGGAAGAGGCCATGACCACAGATGCTCGCTCACTTTCCTACCATGGAAAGAGTTCAACAGCGAGCCAGAAAAGTTGGCTGTTCTCTGTTGGACACGAAAGCACAGAGCAGAATCAAGGGTAGACTGCTTTTCAAGGGTGGTGGCGCTGGTGGTGCTGTGAGTTCTGAACCTTCATGACTGGAAAGGCTTATCAGCATCCTGTTCATATTTCAGTGGCCCTGAGGCAAAGTGCACGTCTGGGCTGTGAGGCATGTGGATCCCCGTCCATGGAGGAAGTTGCTTACTGGTACTCATTGAAAAGACATGGGAGACATATGATCCCTCCTTCCAAAGAGTGCCACGCCCTGTCTAAGATGCAGCTTTGAAATCCTACTTGTCAACAAGCCTAATCCACTGGAGTTACCAAACATACACACTAAACTGTGTTTATTGTCCAACAATAGACCATGTGATCTGTAGACACAGGGATCAGAAGCTAGCTGAATTTCTTCTGTTTTGCAGTGTCTTGCAAAACAAAAGAAAAGGCTAAGGGATGTGTGAAGCTATGCTTTAAAGTTCTCCACAGACTTGATGTTCTGTGGAGTGGTTCACTCTGTGGGTGTAATCCGTTAATGTACTCCCTGGTTATCCATGAGGGTGTTCCAAGATAGCATACCCCAAACTTAACAGACCAAACTCGGCATACACTGATGCATCCATTCCATGAGTTATGATCAGGAATATTTGAAAAGCCAAGGTCTTGAGGTCAAAGAGATTGTTTCTCTCTTTTTCTCTCCCTCCCCCTCTACCTCTTCTCTCTCTGCCAAAAAGCATCGACAT